CTCGTACTACACACACCACCACACACACACACATATATATATATATATATATATATATATATATTCAAATCCCGTGTCGTTGGTCAGGTGTCCATTCGTTTCACGAAACAAACTTCTTTTCCGCTTTTCTCTCCATCGTCATTTCTCTACTCGGTAGGCAGCCCAGAGCAAACGAACTACCGAGCAGCACAGAGGCGAAAAAAAAGGAAAAGTATTCTCGTTTCCCTTTTCCACTGCGCTACCCCTTTTCTGATTTTATTCCTTTGACAAACAACACTCACTCGTAGAACCCCCCACCACACACACACACACACGCACATATATTTATATAGCAAGGAAAAGAAATCTCTTGACTTTCATCATGTCGGAAGGACAGACGACTCCCCGCGGTGGGTGGATTTGCGCGCGCTGCGGGGTTGAGCAGAGCGCGGATGCCACTTTCTGCCAGATGTGCAAGTTCGCCCACCCCCTCGAGCGCCGCGGTGTGCCGCAGATTTTTAACGGCTACGTCGTGCACTTCAACGGCATCATCCCCCGCACCATCACGCACCCGAGTCACTCTGTCGAGTGGCGCATGGCGGAGCGGCACGGGGCGACCTGCACTACCACCTTCGACCCGAACGTCGTGAACATCCTCATCTACCGTCCGGGCTACGAGCGCAGTGAGAAGTGCCGTGCCTGCATCGAGAAGTACACGAGCATCCCATGCGTGCCCATCGCGTGGATGCTGGACTCTCTCCTGCAGTCCCGCCAGATTCACCCATCCCTCTACCGACTCACGGCGGTGCCGCCGGTGGCGAACCCGACAGTGCGTGGCACGAACCTGCCCCACCATCAGCACCCCTTCTACCAGATCAACAAGACGGAGTACGCCATCCCCACCTCCTTCCCGCCCTCGAAGAACAGCGGGGTGAAGATTAAGGTGGCCTCAGGGGAGGGCGTGTCGTACAAGGACATGGACGTGCCGGCGGACATGGAGGGCGCCATCCCGCCCTTCTTCGACATCGAGCCCTTCAAGTACACCACGGTGAATGTCTATGACGCGGCGGTGGCCTGCGCGGCCGGCACCCACGCCGAGGCGGTCGATGAGGAGAACGACGAAATCGAAGCGCGGAAGGAGCGGGCGGGGATCGAGCTGCTGTCGTCGCAGCAGTCGTACAACAAGGTGGACCGCATCCTCTTCAGTGGGGTGAAGGTGCTGCTCTCGCCGGAGCTGCAGCGACAGGCCAGCCTTGTGCTCGCCATTGAGCGGTGCGGCGGCAAGGTGGCGGAGGTGACGGGCTCCATCGAAGACACGATTCGCAACGAGGTGACGCACATCGTCTACGCGCACGAGGACAAGAAGTCGGATATGATGATCGTCGCAGCCCATATGATCAACACCGAGCTTCCCGGTCTTCGGCTGACGCAGTCGAATTGGGTGGAGGACTGCCTCATCCTGGGCGAGCTGCTGCCTATCAAGGGCATGTACGTGCCAACGCCAAAATTGTTAGAGACGCTCAACAAAAAGTACTCCAGGGCCCGCAGCTGATCACAAGAAGCATCAGCATTAGCAGCGACAACAAGAAGTGCGCGGTAGACAGCTGTAGTAGGAAGAAGCAAATGCGGCTATTTTTTCCTAATATGTGGTGTTCTGTTTCTCTCCCCGGTACCAGTACCACCGTTGTGTGTCTGAAGGGAAAGGTTTGTCTTTCTCTTCACATTTCATTGTTCACCCCTCAAAGAACGTTTTTTCTTCTTCCTTTTCCACCATTACGTTTTATGTATCGGTTCTTGTGCGTTCTTGTTGTTTGTGTTATTTCATTGTTCTCGTTTTTATGATTATTCCGTTCTTCATCGTCTAGTCTATGAGTTTGAAAAAAAGGCAGAGCGAGGAGGCCGAAGGTGCTCCTTGATATTGCGTCGCCTCGTTTCGGTGATCGTTGCCAGGGGTGAGGCTGTCGCCGGTTACGTGGACCTCGCTTGCTTCTGTCCAGGCGGTAGAGGCGGCGGTACGCAGCGCCGTTGGTAGTATTCATGGCTCTCCTTTGCCGGTGAGAAGGTGGAAAACGGAAAAGAAGGACGGCGGTTCAACGGGGGAAAAAAATGTGCATTTTAGCAGCTTCTACGGGGAGCAAAAAAAATTGGTGCTCCTCTGTGGCGAGGTTGGGAGGTGTCGTGTTTCGCAACATAACACCGAAAGAAAGGAATAAGAAGAAGTCGAAGGATGAAGGCAACCGTACCCAGCTTCTTTTCCTTTATCTTTCATCAGGGGATTCTGGCGTTGAGTAACAGGAAAATCAAGTACAGTATAAACTGTTGTCATTCATCACCCCCGCTGCTGACAGACGTCGCCACCACCTTCTTTTTTTTCCTTTCTCTGTTGACTTCTCAACTGTTGCTCTTATTAAAAAGAACGTTTTTCTTTATATATATATGCGATCTCTCCTTTGTTGAACCTCTCTCTCTATATATATTGCCGTCTTGTGTCCGTTTTCCCTCTCTTCCGCTCCACATCAACCCACTGTCGTGCTTTTCCTCTTCTTTTTCTCTCTGTTGGTTCTGTTTTCCCCTTCCGGTTGTCGTCTTGCTTGGTTGCGCAAGCGTCTGACGATCACGCTACTTGTTGCAAATATGCTTGTACAAAAGTATCGCCAATATAGAGGGGAATGAGCTGCGCTGCTACTACAAACAAAAGAAGGCTGGCTTGGTGAGATGCACGATGCAGGCCGTCTGAGTACGAATCCTCGTTCAGGTTTGGTCCACGCATTCCTTCGACGAACGGAATGCAGTTCCCGTAGATAAATGGTGCTAGATCGTAGGTCATCTTGTTTCGTGCTTGTCCTGCGCTTTTAACGCAAAAAAGCAAGTGCGTAAAGAACGAAGGCTGGAGAAACGTACCGATGCAGAAAGGCCCAAGCGGACGTATCCTTCCTCACGTTTGGGGGGTAGATGCGCCGCTTTCACTGCTTTGGTGTTCTCAGCAGCCGACCATGCTATGTTGTCGAACGTGATCAAACATCTACCTTTCTTCTTCCTCTTTCATTTTTCTTTTCTGTGTTACGGTTCAGCTGCATATATATATTTTTCAGTGATCATTTCATAGCTGCATTCACACATACCCCACGGCGTTCTGCGACGAACCTTCCCTCTCCTTTTTCGGTTATTGTCAGCGCTTTTAGCTGCAGTTGCTTTCAGTTAACGAAAGCGCAGGTGTCTGGCATCTGAGGGAAAGCAAAAAAGGGAAAACAGCGTGGTTTTTTTTTTTAGAGCGTTCGCCACGCGCAGTGCATAAAGTAAGATCGCTTCACACTTTCTGTTGAGCTACTTTGCGCGTCACTCCACCGTATTGCCGTTGAGTACTTAGAGGGAAGGAGCAAAGTCATTCTTCCTCCTCCTCTTCCTCCGTCTTTTACACGCCTGTGCATCGCGTCTCACGTTGTGAAGTTTACTTCGCTGTTCTCCTTTCCTGTTCGTTGACTTCGCTTTCGTATTCTGTCCTTCTTTTAAGAAAGGAAAATAAAATAGTCACATCCGAATTCAACTCTCCTCGTTATGTTCTTTTGGATGGTTTTGGCGTTGTTGGTCGCCGTTGCGATAGTCATAACCCCCGCCGGTAGGTTTGCGGTGGCCAAGGCACAGGTCTACGCACATGGAGCGAAGTTCATGTTTCAGGCAAAAGACCTGCCGAAGGTGTTTCGCGGGTCCAACTACATGCGCATGGAGGCGGTAGGGAACTACAGCGGCGGAAAGCGCACCATTCGGCTCGTGTTCATCCGACATGGGCAGTCGGTGTGGAACTCGCTCTTCAACTCGATTAATGTTGGGCTGCCTTTGCGCATGGTCAAGGCGTCGATTCGGGAGTTTACGTACTTCTTCACGGACCCCTTCGCCTCGTGCATCATCGACTCGCCTCTCAGCAGCAAAGGCAAGACGGAGGCGGTGGACCTGGTCAGCTTCATGCGCACCGCGAAAACGAAGATCTCGTTTGACCCGACGGTGTCGGTGATCGCGTCGAGCAATTTGCGCCGCGCGATGGAAACGGCGATCGTCGGCGTGGCGCCGCGTCTGACGGTGACGAAGGAGCGCGTCGTGGTGGACTCCACCCTGCAGGAAGGCTCGCAGAACATCGACGCGCAGACCTTCTCGACCGAAAGGGGCAAAATTGCCCCGTGCACTATGGGCACCATCACGGATCCAGCGAAGCTGGGCACTGTGTTCAATGCGTACCTGAACGCAGGCAACCGTGTCGCCGGCGTAGATGTGTACCAGCGCATGGACGAGTTCATTATGCACCTCTTTGGTGGTCGCGGGGATGCGAGTTTGACGCCGGCGGCCGGTGGCGGTAATGCAGCGCTGCAGGAGGTGATCGTCGTGGGCCACAGCGGCTACTTCCGCAGCTTCTTTACGCGGTTCCTGCCTCCCTCCTCGACCCACGTCTCCAAGAAGAAAAAGATGCAGAACTGCGCGGTGGTCTCGCTAGATATTACGCGAGACCAGAACAGCGGTGAGGTTGTGGTGGATGAGTCGACGATTCGGGTTCTCTACAAGGGATTCAAGTAGGCAAAACAGTCACGTACACATACACCCACGTGTTTGCTGAGCGCGCTGCCCGGGGGTCCAGCGAACGTTTTTCACCCGTTCCTTTAGTTTGTTTTTGTTTTTGAGTTGTCGGCGCATTCGCATCGTCGTGCTCTCCGGACAAGCTCTCAGTCTTTTTCCTTCCCCTTTTTTCTTCTTACTGGGAATTGTTGCGATGCCGTGTGTTTCTTTTGCTTACCGTATACTATTTTGTGTCTGTTTCGCGCATAGCCACGAGCCATTCAAGAAGAAGAAAAACGCGAGAAGGACAGCGAAGCGGCACTGTGGACTTGCGTACTTGCTCCAGCTTTGGCCTCACCGCGTAAACTCCGCGGTTTACGTGAAAGGTCGTGTGCTTTTTCCTTTGCTACCCGGAGTGTTGGTTTCGTCGTGCAACTCTGTCCGACAAAGCCTGCGCTACGCTGGAAAAATAAAAGGAAAGACACCAAAGCTGTTTGTGCAATACAACGTTTAACAGCTCATGTGAGGGTGAGGGACAAATATATCGATTTAATACGTCTCAACGCTCTTTCTCTTTCTCGTAGCGTTGTTGTTTTTTCGTTCAAAATATCATTCGCGAGCGTTGACGGTGCCTTCTTCCTTTTCTCGTGCTTCATCACCGTGCAGGAAGGAACAGAACAGAAACTTTTCTGTTAGTAGAGCTCAACAGCAGAACGAAAAATAAATAAATAAACCATGCGGCCCTTTTTATCGCTGTGGAGGCGGTGCCCCACCGCAGCGACGGTGACAGCGGCAACGGTCTTTACCAGCACCATTGCTCATCATCGCTGCTTTGTGCGCAGTCGTCAAGATGTTACAGAGGCAGAGCGACAGCATCTCGAGCAGGAGTTGCCGCCGCGCGAGCTGCTACGGGAGATGCGAACCTCGGACCGGGCGCCCGGCGAAGACGCCGAGGACGACATCAAAGTTCCAGGCGACTCTTTTGGCATCATGCAAAATCGAGTAGCGTTTTACAAGCCCATACCGCGTCAGGTGCCACCTGGACCGTTAGGGGAGCTGATGCCTGTCGGCACGCACCCCTACGAGGCGTACAACCAGGACACGGTGCGGCTGCTGTGCAGTCGTTATGGCGTGAAGGTAGCGGACGCCGTTAAGGCCCTGCGCGAGGCAAAGGGTGACATTAACCTCGCCACCGAGCTGCTGGAGCGGTGGTTCGACATCGAGGTCGGCTTCGGCAGCTACGGGGTGGTGTGCCTGGAGTCGTACGCACCGGAGACGTTCTGTTTGGTCTCGTTTAACCTGCCCACCTACGCATCAACGCAAAACGACGAAGTGCTGGATGTCATTCACGAGCTGACTCTGTCGGCGGCGGAGATGCCGCTCGACACGCCGCGTGGCCGGCTCGTCGATAAGTTCGTGAACCACTGGACCACTGAAGACGACGTGCCATGCGGGGACGTGCTGAAGGCCTGCGATATCACCGTGCAGAGCATTCTCCTGCTCCCCTTCGGCGACTACGGCGTGCAGGGATTTCACGTGTTGAAGCCGGTAAAGGACGATGCACCGAACATCGGCCTGGCTGCCGCGGCTTGCTGCATGGATTTGCGAACCGGCATCCACAACCGCTTTCGTTTTCACGTGGAGCGCATGGCAGACTCGGTCAGCGAGCACGTGTTGCAAGAAATGCTGCACTACAACCAGGGCGTGCACGTGCTGCGCCAGCCTTACTGGTTTCGCCCTGAGTACAGCGTGGAGGAGTTCCTCCGCTTTAAAGAGTCGCTGCTGCAGCCGAGTGCGTCGACGTTTGAGATGCGCTACGCTTTCATGTTTGCCCCGCAATACGGCCTCCCACACTACCGCAACATCGTCGAGATGGAGAAGCTGAAGATTGCGCAGCACAAGTACGAGAAGCACTACGAAGACTTCACCGCGCCAGGGAAGTGGCTGACGAGCGACAACGCGCAGCTGCAGACGGTGGCGGCGGGCAGCGGGGGGTCCAACGCTCCGGGAGGGGCGATGCACAACAACACGAACAACGTCGACTCCATTCGAACAGCGATGGAGACTCGCGCTGGCCCGCTGCGTCGCACGCTCGAGAAGTCGATGCAGGCGCATGGCGATCGCGTATTTAACCGATTCTACCGCAACAATGCACATTGAGTTATCTTTCTAGTTGAGCGTGGAGAAGTGGCACACGTACCACTTGTGCCCCGGGGGCATTCGTCTCTGAAGAGTCGTGGCCAGTACGTTTCCGCACCACACAGAACGCGTCGTTCTTACATGAAGAGAGGGAGAGGAGAGAAGAGCGTCTCTCTTATTCACCTTTTCTACACCATATCTACCTCCTCTTTCAAAAAAAAAACATATTTCAAGCGTTCTGGAGAGTCTCTTTGCATCGGGAACACGCGGGAATACATTTTACAAGTGAGAGGTCTGCACTTTTCCGTGGATGCGCAGCAGGGTGGTGTGACACCAGAAAACGGCGCGAGGGAAACTGCCAGCTTGACGGCGCAACGGTTATACTCTTCCGATTCCACCGTCATGACTGTTTGCAAGGAAAGCGCGATATCTTTTTTCGCCAAGTGGTGTCGAATACACTTTATTTTTCCCTTCTTCAATGACATTTACGTTCCCCAACATCTACCTCTTCTTTGCTTTACACTGTTGTGCCACGCACGCACACACACACACACAGCACTGCAAGTAGATGCACATACGTATCTGCTTTGACGTTCAACCTGCGTCGTAGCAGAAGCTAGCCCATTGCACCTCTTCCGTGTTCCGTCACATTCTGCCACCGCTGGCGTCCTTCATAAATATTTTCGGCGAGTGCTTTGAAGCGACGTGACATCTGTGTTTTTTCCTTTGTTGAGGTTATATATATATATATAAGAGCAGAGTAGGTGTGTCGTTTAGCACACAATGGGCTGCGGCCATTCGCATCTCGCCCAAAAAGGGGCGACGAGCAAGAGCACTCACGTAGGGCCCGCGCCGTCCGCACGGAGCGCGACCCCCGAAAAGCCAGCAGAGGAGGAGGAGGACCTCTTTAACCAGCTTGTGGCGGGCTACGTTGGCGAATACCCTCAGAAAGGCACCGTTACGACCTACGAAGACTACAAGGGCTACGTCACCTCCACCACAAATCACGTGTCGAAAGGTAAAGTTGATAGGTTGTGTCGATGGTCTGATGCCGTTTTGCAGGAACGCCACCGACTCAATCACGATGTCTTCTTTAACCCACAGAACCCGGCTGCGTGGCCGAGGGAAGTGATCGCTGAGTACACCTCTGCCCCGTCGTTTGCGGATAGACATACTGCGCAGCAGAGCTCGTATAAATAGGTCCGTTGTTTCTGTGCTTTTCTTCTTCGTTTTTTTTCCTTTTTCGAAAATTCGAGTTTCGTGTTGGTTGGTGCTGTACCGCTGCACCGCATGCAAGGCTGCCGGGTCTATCAAAAAAGAAAAAAAAACCCATGTAGATAATAAAATTATGTTAAACTTCGGTACCTTTTTCTCTTCGTATTTGTTCTTTGTTCCCTCTTTACCGTACAGAACCTTTCTTTTTTCATTGTGTGTTGTTATCCTCGCCTTTTTTTTTTTTGGGCACATAGGCGCTTACTGTTTTGACGGTTTTTCATATCTTTCTTCTTACTTTCTCGATATATATATATATATATATATATTATATTGTTTTCCCTTTTAAGCTTCGTGGCGCTGCAATTGAAGACAGGTAGTTGATGCTGCTTCGAGAAAGATGCTTTGAAAAGCAGCTATTATACCTTCACTTGTGTTTCCTAGTGTACAGCTCCTTATCTACGTACATTTTACAATCACACTCCTGCAGCGCAGCGCAGGTCGGTGTGTGTTGCACAATGCTAACACCGCTTCATTCAAAACAACAACAAAAGCGAAGACATAGGCCACTGTTGACAGGAAAGCGGATACGGGCACATGGGCGAATGTTGCCTGCGGTGTGTGATGTGAGGAGCTCTGACCTCTGCCTTTTTTCGGGGGTCGGGCCCCATCGAAGAAGTGAAATTCTTCGTAGGACATTTTTGCGTCTCCTTCTCGTGTGAAATCATGCTACAGTAACGACAGGTTGTGTGTGCGTTGCGTTAGCTTGTTTTTATGCAACCCCCTCCCCCCGAAATGCCGGCTAGTAACGATGCGGAGAAGAAGAAAGAAGAAAGTCACTCGACCCTTTCATACAACGGCAACAAGAACACCGTGATACAATGAAGCGAAAACACCTCTATTTTCTCTTACTATTTTGTTTTTTCGCCCTCACCTCTTCATAATTTCTTCTCTTGCTTCGTCGAACAAGCAGTGTGTTCTCTTCTTCGTTGCTGTTTCCCAGCTTTATCGCAGCTCTGTGACGGCGAACGCGTCTTCTATTTTCCCCTTTCTCTCTCCTGCAGTTGGCTCTCGAACTGTCTAGGTGCCGCCACAGTCTTACTGCAATTAGTATTCAGACCTTGTTTTCCCCCCTTTCGCCGCTGCAACGCTTTCCTCTTCCCTTTACCCACCATCCCTTCCGCTCAGGTGTTTTGTCACGGTTACCGGGAGTTTCAATTTGAACTTTTTTTTTACTTCTGCCATTTGCGTCCTCGTTCGAGCGCGTGCTGTGCCGTTTTGACCACCAAAGAAATACGCTGTAGCCCCCCACACACACCCACACACACACACCCACACACCCATATACAGACGTATATTTATCATCCTTCTTTTTCTTCACCGTTGCCGCTCCTGATCAACCTCTAGCAAGCACCATGAACCGCGCAGGATTTGACAAGTACATCACCGTCTTCAGCCCGGAAGGCTCGCTGTACCAGGTGGAGTACGCCTTCAAAGCCGTCACCTACCCCGGACTTCTCACCGTGGCCATCCGCTGCAAAGATGCCGTCCTCGTTGTCACGCAACACCAAATCCCCGACCGTTTGATGCGGCCCGACTCGGTCACGGCGCTCTACGAGGTCACCGCCGGCATTGGGGCGTGCATGACGGGTCGTGCGCCGGATGGCCGCGCCCTCGTGCAGCGCGCGCGGGAGGAGGCGTCCGACTTCTACTACCGCTACGGCGTCCCCATCCCGATCGCGCTGCTGGCGAAGCGCATGGGCGACAAGGCGCAGGTGCGCACCCAGCAGGCCGGTCTGCGTCCGATGGGCGTCGTCACCACGCTGATCGGGATGGACGTGAGCGACGAGGATGGCTCGTTGAAACCGTTGATTTACACCGTCGACCCCGCTGGCTGGACGGGCGGCCACATCGCGTGCGCCACCGGTAAGAAGCAGGTCGAGGCGATGGCGTTTCTGGAGAAACGGCAGAAGGGCACCGACTTCGATGCTCTGTCGCAGAAGGAGGCGGCGATGATCGCGTTGGCGGCGCTGCAGAGTGCTATCGGCACGGCGGTGAAGGCGACGGAGGTGGAGGTGGGCCGCTGCACGGTGGCCGCCCCGACCTTCCAGCACGTGCCGAACAGCGAGGTGGAGGAGTGGCTCACGGCGGTAGCGGAGGCTGACTAGAGCGAAGAGGACACAAACAGTGCAGGGTACAATGTCTAGCGCAAGAGAGCGAGATAGAGAAGAAAGAGAGTTCGAGACCAACAAAGAGAAGCGCTTCGTTGTGCTGGCCGTATCACTTAAAAAAAGAAGGGCTCACGCAGCTTTATCGATTTTATTTCTCCAGATCAATCTGACTGGTTAGGTTGTTCACTGTTGGCGGCTGCTTCTCGCTCGCGTCGTTGCATTAAGGACCCGCGCTGACCGTTGCACTCCCTGGACTTTGCAATGAACAATGCTTCGTTATTCTTATTCATTTTGTTGTTGCACTTTTTATTTTGTGTATCACATTCGTTTCCGCGTGTGGTTTGTTGATTTCGTTTTTTTCTTTTCTGTATGTTTTGTGATTGATGTCGGATGTGGTAAACTGTGCAAATCCGCCAACACTCTTCGGAGTTCGCGACTTGCTTTGCACGCGTAGCCCGTTTGACGCGGCCGGCAGAGCCTTCGTGGCGGACGTCAGTAGTTTCTACGTGCCTCACGTGTTGTACACAGAGTAAATACACTCACTTCATGGCCTTTGCTGGGTGTTGGAGCTCCATGCTGTCATCCCGCTCCGTCTTGAGTTCGTGCGAGAAATGAGTTATACAATTTTTAACGCTGCCTGCGACAGTAAAGATTGTTGTACGGTGTCATCAACGTTCTCTCACCGTTTTAAAACCTTTCTCATCTCTTTTACTCTTCTTCTTCTTCGTTATTTGTTTTGGGGATCACATGCAAACTAGTTGTTTTTGTTGTGTTTCTGTTCTTGTCTCGACTGCTTCAGCTAGTCCGCAACGAGGTCAACTCGCTCCATCATTTTTCTGTCTCTCCGGTGCGAGCCACGTAACACCTGTGCGTTTCACGTAGTTTTTTTTTTGCCGAACTTCAAGAAACTGCCTCAGTATCTGTTGTAGTACTGTGTGCGGTTCCCCAACGCGTACAAACCCCTCAAATTCAAAAACGGAGAGCATACAATGTTGAAGGAGTGGCTGCGCGGCTCGTCCAGCGAGGCGGAGAAGCCGGCCGAGGAGAAGAAGCCGGCGGGCCGTATGGTGGTGGACGCCGAGAGGCCGCTGGAGACGCACGAGAACTCACTCAGCAAACGCCGCGAGGCCTTTGAGAAGAAGTTAGCGGAGTCGGCTCGCGAAGGTCCGCCACACCCCAACAAGACGCTGGCCTATGATACCATCTTTCGCAAGCCGCAGAGCCTGTTGCTGGAGGGTAACAACAACGAGGTGCAGGAGGGCATCACGGTCAACGTCGCCCGCAATGCGCAGAACACGATGGTCTCGACGAAGTGGTCCTTGGTGAACCCGCAAATGTCGAACTGGGAGGTCAACTTGCAGATGAACGGCTTCGCGGACATCATCGCGGCTTCGTGGAACACGCTGAACCGCTATCAGCTGACCTACCAACGCGTGTCTAGCGTGGGGGCGATGCTGGTGACGCAGTTCATGGCGCAGAAGCAAGGCGGCATGACGCAAGGCACCGTGTTTGCCATGCTGCAGTACCCCTGGCGCTGTGGTGGCTGCACGCAGGTGCAGTACGTGAAGGATCAGTCCTTCAGCATGAGCCACACCCAGCGCCTGATCCGTGGCGTGCACATCGGCACGAACCTCACCGTGGAGCCGCAAACGCACGGCTCGTACCTGTCACACGCCATCTCCCTCACAACCCCAAAGAAGGACGCCGGCTTCATGGCGGAATGCACGCCGAGCAAGGGCACCTGGAAGGTCGCTGCGACCGCCTTTGACTGGGCCATGAACATGGACGCCGCAATTGAGCTGGAGTACAAGGAGAGCCGCGAGGGTATGCGCAGCGCGCTCAACGTGGGCTGCCGTAAAGGCTTTGTGGGCGGGGCGGAGCTGACCTCCTCGCTTCTCGGGTTTAACATGGCGAAGGTGAATTTGGAGCTGCCCTTTGGCGGTGAGACGCAGGGAGCAAATCAGTTCCGCCTGGGCTTCAATTGCCAGTACGACATCCACGCTGGTGCCTTGAAGCAGGGACTCGTCTTCACAGCTTGAGATTGGTGTTGTTGTCGTTGATTATGACGCTACCGCGGTTGTTCGTCACGGATTTTCTCTTGATGTTTCACGCTGACGTGCTTGCCTATCGGGTGGGTTTGAGAGCTTTGGGCGTTGATGCTCATTGATGACACAGATTTTCTCTCTTTTTTGGGAGGGGGTGGCGGGAAGAACGGTTCACCCGCTGCAAGTGAGGAGGGGCAGTTCAGTGCTCGCTGGAGCTTTGCATCTCCGCCATTCCCAACCTCACGATCTTCTCCCTCTTGGTGGGCCTGAAACAGCAGCAGCGTTTTTTTTTTGTCTTCTTCTCGGCTTTTGGTACTCGCAATAATGAATAAAGATATATGTCTCACATTATTTTGGCGTGATGGCAGTCATTGGAGTTGTACGTGCCACGAGGGGATGGTTGGGTTCTGTTTCCTTTTTTTTTCCGTGGCTTCTCTCTTCACTCTCCGTTGAGTTCTCCCTCTCCGTCCTTCCGAAAAGCCCCCCGAGAAGAAAGGAATGGGAAAGGAGCTCGTTGAATTGGTGCGGTTCTTTTGTGTGTCGGCGTGGCGGCACTTGAACGGTCTTCCTGTTGTTGCGCCTTCACTTAGCCTAAGATGATCCGGAAGGAAACACAAGCAAGTGGAGAGAAGAGGAAGCGATGGTGTTTGCGGTGTTTCTTCCGTCCCCGTTGTCCTTTTAAATGTCCCTCTTTTCGATGTTGTTGTTTGACGTTCTTTTCGCCTCATGACGGATCCGATAAATAACACACATGCACAAACACGTAGAAACGAGAAACGCGGAAGCTGAGACGTGTAAAGCGAAACGCCTTATTTGAAGACGTCCAGTGAGGAAAGGGAGAAAAAAAGATGGCAAAACATCTGCACCGCCGGCGCTTATCCGCCTCCTTCGGACGCACCAGGAATGCTGATATGCTACGCTATCTTTTTTCCCCCTGTCACATTAGGCGCTTCGTGCGCGTTGGATGGGCGTCTGTGGAGTTCCAGTCTCGGTGCGTTCCCTAGACAGAGCAAACGCCAGCGCACGATTGAATGCCGAATCAGTGATCGCTTTTCAGCTGCGTACTTTCTCTTCTGGAGGGCACAAATGACAAAAAAGCAGATTAAACTCGAGCAGCTTTCGCGTTGCTGGCACGCCCTCTATGTTCATTTCTCCCCCTTTTCTCCTCCTTCTTTTCCTCCATCAAAATACCGTTCTACCCGCCGTCCACACACGATCGACGTGCTTCCAAAAAAAAAAGAGGAAGAAAGGGAGGGGCCAGCAAACTCTCACGGTAGGACACACAAGCACCGGAACACAACGTGATGACGACCATGATGCGCAAGTCCTCTTCAACGTCCGCGCAGGACGAGGACAAGCACTACAAAATGTGCAAGAAGATCGCGCAACTCACGAAGGTGATTTACACCCTTAACAACCGATCAGAGGATAATGAGCAGCGGACGGCGTGGCTGCAGCAACGGCACACCGCGGAGCTCACCAGACTCGCGCGGGAGTACGAGAAACAGATCGAGGAGCTGCAGAGGCAAGCGAAGGCGCTGCAGACGGAGAAGATGAACCTCGCCGGTTCCTTAGAGGCACAACACAAGGAGGAGCTGCGGAACGCGCAGGCGAGCTTTCAGTCTCGCTTTGCGGAGCTCACGGATCAGGTCACCGAGCAGCTCGCGCAGTTTGAATCCGTCCTGCGGGAAAACAAGCAGCAGATGGTAGCGGAGTGCGCGGCGGAGGCAAAGCGGATCCGCGAAGGCAAGGATACGGAGCTGGCAAAGCTGGTGCAGGAGTACAACGACAAGTACAAGTCGATGCTGGCCGAGCAGCTGGACAGCCGCGACACATTAGAAGATGAACTCAACAGGAAATGGTCGGCGAAGGTGCAGGCATTGGAGGAACAACTGGAGGCCACCCAAGGCGGCAAAGATCGTGAAGTGCAGGCGAAGTCAAGACTCCTGCAGGAGGCGCTGCAAAAGTGTGCTGTCTTCTCGAACGAGAAGGACGCGCTGACGTCTCAACTGGAGACCGCACAGACGCAGGCGCGCACCCTGCAAGACGAGCTGTCGAAGGCCGTCGCGGACTTGGGCTCCGAGCGACATCAGCGGAAGGCAGTGGAGGAGTGGAAGGCCAAGCTGGAAACGCAGCTGACGAACCTGCAGCGTGAATTGGCTTCCCTCACGGAGCAGCTCGGCGAATCGCAAGAGGCGCTCACGGCGGAAAAGGCGAGCCACTCCCGCAGCACGGCGTCTCAGAAGGCGTTAGAAAACGAAAAGGCGGTGCTCTCTGCGGCGAAAGACTCCGCCGAGCACGAGCTGGCAGAGTGCAAGGAAAGTCTTGCGAAGTGTGCGGCGGAGCGCGATGCCACACGCAACGAGCTGGACACGCTGCGCTCCTCCGCGGAGGCCAAGACCTCCTCACTGAGTGAGCTCACGGCGGCGCTCTCGACAGCGCAGTCCCGAATCACCGCGCTGGAGACAGAGTTAGAGACCGCAATGCAGCAGCATGCGAGTGACACGGCGCAGGCGCAGCGGCGGTTAGAGGAGGTCAAGCAACAAGCGACGGAGGAGGCGAAGGCAGCGGAGGCGAAGCACCAGGAGGAGCTCCGCAACGCGCAACGTGACCTCCAATCAGCCTCGACGTCAGCGCAGCAGCAGCTGCTGGAGACGTACAAGACGCAAATGGAGACCATGGAGCGCCAGCACACGGCGCAGGTCCAGCAGCTACAAACGCAACTCGCGGCGGCCACGGAGCATCACCGCGACGTGTCGGGGAAGTTGTCACAGGCATCAGCGCAAGTGACCCGCCTGGATCAGCGCTGTGGGGAGCTGGAGACGCAGCTCCGAGCACAGATGCAGCAGACGGCGGAGGAAAATGCACGCGCTGCGGAGCAAGCCGCACAGCTGCGTCGGGAGCTGGAAATTGCACGGAGCGGCAGCCGCGAGGAAGCGAGTGCGCAGCAAGCCGCGCTGGAGCAGCTGCGCGCTGAATACGCAGCCGCCCAAGCGGAGGCCGACGCGGCGCACGCGAAGGCCCTTCAAGAGCTGCGCAATGGGGAAGGAGAGCGAGTTGAGGCTATACAGCGGGAGCACGTGGCGCTGCTGCAGTCCCTCCAGAAGGAGCACGCTCTGTCGTTGCAGCAGGCGAGAGACGATGCGGCATCGCAGTTGACGTCCACCGCCCGTGACGCCGCTGCCCGCCACGCCGTACAGCAAAAGGAACTCATCGACAAGTTGGAGGCCCAACGCGCTGCCGCCGCCGCCACCGAACAGGAGCGGCTCAGCCAAATTGCGAAGCTGGAGGGTCAGCTACGTGAGCTGCAAGGCACGTCGTCTGCACAGCAGGCGTCATCATCCAATCAGCTGCAGCAGTTACAAAAGCAGCTCGCGCAGCTGCAGGACACGTTGCTGAAGACGCAGGCCGAGGCGGCTGCCACCCTTGCTGCGGCGCGCAAAGACGCGGCTGCGCAGCGGCAAGACGACATCGCCTCCTTTGAGGCGATGCGCCAACAACAGGTAAACTCGGAGCGGCAGCGCTACGATGCTGCGGCTGCCGCCCATCGCGAGGAGATTGCGAAGTTAGAAAACCGCATGAAGGAGCGGGTCTCCAATGCGGAGGAGCGTCTGAAGCTCACCGTGGCCCAGTACGAGGCACGGCAGAAGACGATGCTGCAGGAACACGAGGCGGATCTCCGCACGGCTCACGAAGTGCAGATGCGAGAGGCAGCAGCGGCGCACGAGGCGGAACGGACGCGCCTGCAAAACGAATTGTCGCTCGCCGAGGCGGGGCTGAAGGACCAAAGCGCGCGCACGTCGAACTGCATGCAAACCATCGCCGCTCTCACCGTGCAGCGGGATAAGGCGTTAGAGGAGGTGCGCACGGAGAAGCGCAACAGCGCCGCCGCCCTCACGGCAGCGCAGAACAAGCACGCCGCCGACGTGGAGCTGCTTCACATAAACCACCAGCAAGAGCTGAATCGGTTCTCCGCTACTCACAAATCTGTTGTGGACGACTACCTCAAGCAGCAGTCCGACGAGCGGGCGGCGCATCAGGCGCTGATGGAGGCGATGCAGCAGCGCATGGAGGAGCTGCAGCACAAGTACGACTACCGCGAGTCGCGCAGCGAGGATGTGGAGCTGATCAATCGGCTGCTCGTCGACAACAAGGAGAAGGAGGTGGCGCTGACCAGGGCCTACGAGGACATGCGCCTGTACAAGCTGGAGCTCATGAACCGTGAGGAGAACTATAACAAGGTGTTCCATCGCAGCCCTGCCGTGGCCGACTACTCGGGCGTGGCCGAGGCCGTTGCAAAGAAGCAGCACACGAGTCTCCCATTCATCAGCGCTGCCCGGAAACAGTCCACGCGGTAGGATTGTTTCTACTTCGGGTATTTGGCCCTTCAGTGTTTCCTCCTCTTTTAAGCCACATCGCACGTCAGATATGAGGTGACGGTAAAAGACACCGTGCTTTCGCGTACACCCGTTCTGCTTTTCGCTGTCTCCGTATTGCTGCCAATGCACAGAAAGATTTTTTTCTCTAAGTGTTCACGATTCTAACTCGGTCGCTGCCCCTGCTGGTGCTGCTCATACACATCCTCGTCAGTAGCCGGGAGAGCTGCCGTTGACCTCTGTACATTACATCCAACTTAGATTTTGCCGTTGGACTTTGTTTTATTTTTTTTTTTCTTGTGTACGTATATGTAAAAGAAAATAGTAAAGAAAACCATAACGTTTCCGTGGTTGTGCCGCTCTGTTTTTCCTATCAAAACCCCTTTCGTGTTGTACGCCGCTGATGTATAGTTAAGCGTGTCCAAATCAAACATGACAGGTAAAGTTGCTTCTCTCCTTTTTTTTTTCTTTCTCCGTGTTCTGGCCTCATTCACTTTCATTGTAAGTCCTTCGGATACAGCTATTTAAGAAAAGCTTATACAAAACGGTTTCGTTACGCTGGTGCAGCTCTTCGGCCGAAAGATCATCTGCGCACTTAATAGAGAAAGCGAACGACTTGTGCATTAACTCTGCGGATACGTCCTCACGCATGCTGTCTCTTCACGCCATTTCTTTTTCTTTTTTTTTGCCCGCCTTCTTCTTCGCCGTATTTTTTGTTTCGCTGCTTCACTTTAACCTTTGTTGTGTTTGCTCTCTCTCTGTGTGTCTGGTCGCCTCTTACAATTTTTTCGTCCGCGCCCTTCCTCCTTTTCTCGCTGTTGCTACGCGCCTTCGTGTCACGAGGTTACCACTGAAATACCGCGTAGCACTACGTACGTATCTTAGCAGTTGAGCTCGTATCTTTTGTTGCTCTTCTCAACACCACTGTTTGTGCTCACGGAACTCTCTCGACCACCAACATCATCATGGTCAACGCATTCGCAGAGGAGCTGAAAGTACGCGGCAACGAAGCCTTCGCGGCGAAGCGCTTCGAGGATGCCATCGTGCTCTACGACAAGGCTATCGAAACGGATGAGACGAACTTCGTCTACTACAACAACCGCGCCGCCGCCTACCATGAGTTGAAGAACTACGCCAAGGCGATCGAGGACGCCACGAAGTCGATCTCGATCGAGAATAACCCCAAGGCGCACGCCCGCCTTGGCGCAGCGCTGTGGGCACAAGGTAAGCACCGCGAGGCAAAGGGCGAGTTTGAGGTGGCTGCTGCGATGGACCCCTCCAACAAGTCCCATAAAGAGAGCGTGCAGGCGTTAGAGCAGCTCATCAACCCGCTGCCCTCGTCGTCGGGCTTTGCGCACAGGCGTGGTGTGCCGCACCCGTACGAGTACGCGCGTGCGGCCGCGGCGGCGACCAGCGCAGCGGGCCCGACACAAGGCGGCGAATTCGTTTCGGTGGACTGCGGCGTTATTGGCTTAGTCCTCGACGTCGTGGTGCTCCTCTTGACGGTGTTCTTCGTCCTGTCCTCTTTCTTCGTTCCGTCGCTGCCGGGTAAACTGTGGGCCTACCTGTTGATCGCCACCATGCTTCAGCAGGCGCTGGTGATGCGGGTGCGGAACTTGCTGCAGGCGAAGATGGATGTGCTGAACTCGTGGACGTCGCACTTCTGCTCCCTGCTCTTTGCGCTGTGCTTCTTCGCGCTGCTGATTGGTGTGCGCCCCATCATCTTCATGCCCATGTTCATCGCTGGCTACAGCCTTCTGGATTTGATCAACAAGCGCCAGCAGGTTGCCGCGCAGCTCGGTCCGCTGTATCCGATGATCGCCCCTTACGTACAGAGGGCTGATGATAGCAAGGAGCAGATTCGCATCTTTGCTGCCAGCGTCGAAGCCTTGCTGACCTTCACCATAATGTTCACCGGTGGCACCTTCTTCACCTTGGCCTACATCCAGTACGCCAAGAACCGCTACAACCACGACAGCTACATGAAGCTCGCCTTCAAAGGTCTGCGGATGAACGTCACGCGCCTCACCACGGCATCGTTTGTGCCGGCGGTCGTGGACAAGTACGCGCAGAAGTTCTTCGATCTGTTGGACAAGATTGCTCAGCAGCCGATTTGAGTTTTGTGGGGAGTGACGTTTTCGTTTATTTTTGTTTCTACTCGCTGTTGACGGACCTACAGCGTTTATATTGAGGTTGCAGTGTGCCTCCGTTGATGTTCGCTAGTGTTGGAGGAAGTTCCGTGTTTTTCCTTCTCTTCTACTTACCTGCGCTGATGGGGTGCGTCGTGCTTTCAGTTAGCCGAAGGTTGTGTGCGTGTGCGCACGTGGGGTATTCTTCTGCCTTTTTTAAGAAGTGTTTTTTTTTTCTGTGTGTGTGTGTCGTGGGGCATCGTGCGGGTGTACGTGCGTTTGCTTTCGATTGTGGTGCCTTTATCTATCTCCGCCTTACCAACAGTCCGCTTGCTGTTGAGATTGTTGTTATTACTGTTACTTTTCCGGCTCAGTGTGGACCTTGTTTGAGTTGTTGGTCTCTTATTTTTTTGTGTTTATTTGTTTTTTCCCCCTTTCTTCTGACTTCCTTTTGGATACTGTTAACTTGTTCTACCCGGTGACGTTCTTAAGTGCTGCCATCAATCGTTCCTTGTGGAGAGGAAGCGAGACATTTTCTTCTCGTTGCAGCGGTGCGTGGAGCTGCGTTTTCACAATGATGATGAGGTGAATCATTTGTCGTAAGTACCTAACGCGATCTAACATCACCTCCTTTTTGATGTTGTGTGTCTGTGTCTGTGCGAGGAGCCTTTTTGCTGTTGCAGACAAACGTTTGTGCGTAATTATCGTGTTCTTTGCTGGTTTTGTTTCTCCGTCGCTTCTGCACAGCTGTGAGTACCTTTGATAGCGGTGGTTTGAGCTGATTATAATTTATAAAAGAAAAGTTCAACACATCTTACTAAAAGGCAACAAGAAACGCCTTTTTTTTGTTTTGCAAAACGTTTGGATGTGTAGCTTCTACGTAGATATGAATAAGCGGAAACGGATTTTACTTATTTAGACTTCATGTTTCTTCTTACTCAACGCTGTTTTCATTCCTTCTTTCTCTTCTATTGTGGAACAAACGGCGAAAATGGATGCATCTGAGTTTTTCTTGTTTTGTTTTTACTTCAAGACTCTCTCTTCCCCAAATGAGCCTCTTTCTGTACCACGGTCGTTCTTTATCACCTAGACAGCCTCGCATCCAACATCTTGTTGACAGTCTACCGTGAGGTACACAGATTCTCTTCGTTGTCTCCACAAGTTTCCTAGCGCAACACCCAGCAAAATAAGACACTGCTGATTGTCTTCTACTACTTCACACAACAGAGGGTACCCAGACCTAAAAACGTGCTCAAACACATAAAAGAGCGTTTCCGCTGCGCTCACAACAACGAATTTTTTTTTTTTGGTGGCTGTAGAAACTCACACATCACCATGCAACAGCAGCAGCAGCAGCGCGTGCATGTGCCAACTGATCGCACAGAGGAGCCCGCAGCGGCGAGCACGTCGATCGATGCAGCGCACAAAAACGATGAGATGCGCGAGGAAACGGCGGCTGCGCACCCGCTAATAGAGGTGGAGCGCCTGGCAGAGTACGGTATTGGCGCTGCGGACATCACAAAGCTGAAGCAAGCCGGCATCTTCACTGTGCCCGGCGTGCAGATGCAGTGTAAGAAGGACCTCATCCAGATCAAAGGGCTCTCTGATGCCAAGGTGGACAAGATCATCGAGGCGACGCGGCGCGTGTGTGAGGTGGGCTTCATCACCGGAACCTCCTATCTGCAGCAGCGCAGCAGCATCACGCGCATCTCCACCGGCAGTACCGCGCTGGATCAGCTGTTGGGCGGCGGCGGCATCGAAAGCCGCTCCATCACCGAGGCTTTTGGGGAGTTCCGCACCGGCAAGACGCAGATCGGACACACCCTCTGCGTTACCTGTCAGCTGCCGCTGGAGATGGGTGGCGGGAATGGCAAGGCGGTGTACGTAGACACCGAGGGCACCTTCCGACCGGAGCGCATCCGCCCGATTGCCGAGCGCTTCGGCCTGGATGCGGGCGCGGTGCTGGACAACATCCTCGTCGCACGCGCTTACACGCATGAGCATCAGGCGCACCTGTTGTCTATGGTGGCCGCGAAGATGGCAGAGGATCAATTCAGTCTGCTTGTGGTGGACAGCATCACGGCCCTCTTTCGCGTCGACTTCTCCGGCCGCGGTGAGCTGGCGGAGCGGCAGCAGAAGCTGGCCAAGATGCTGAGTCAGCTGATCAAGATCGCGGAGGAGTTCAACGTGGCCGTGTACATCACGAATCAGGTGGTCGCCGATCCTGGCGGTGCATCGATGTTCGTGTCGGACCCGAAGAAGCCCGTGGGCGGCCACATTCTCGCCCACGCCTCCACCACCCGTCTCTCTCTCCGCAAAGGTCGCGGCGACCAGCGCGTGTGTAAGATCTTTGACAGCCCCTCGTTGCCGGAAGTGGAATGTGTGTACAGCATCTCAGAGCAGGGCATTGTCGATGCCATCGAATAGCACGAACATTGCTCGTAGATGATTCAAACCTGTTATTATGCTTACTATCGTTTTGGGTCGGCGAGATTGTGCTCTTCTGTTCATCTGCATAGTATTCTTTTCTGCTTCTTTGCGTCTTCTGCTATTCAGGTTTTTTGACTAATCCCCCCCCCCCTCCCTCCCCTCCTGCTTCAGCGTTGTGCTCTCCACCGATCGCAGGCGCCGAAAATATCAACAACGCAAAACTCCGCAAATGATAGAGAGCAACATTTTTTACTGGTGCGTTAGCAGCTCAGCGAAAGACATCAGAGTGAAGGAGGTGCCTCCTGAAAACTGGTGAATATCTTATGCTTTGTTTTTTTTTTGGGGGGGAGCTGAAGCAGGAGCCTCAAAGCACGTAGGACGACGAGAAGTAGCTGTGCTGTCTATGACGTACTTGCTGGACATCAAAGACGTAGCGGACGCCGCGACGCTCCTTTCCCTTTGATTTCTGTTCTCAGTACCCCACATGAGTGTATTCCGTACCAAAAGAGTAATTATGTCTAGGCTTTTTTAAATCTGATCTTCTGCTCTTTTTTCTCTGTTTTGCGAATGTGTCTAAGTAGTACAGAGAGATCAACTGCATGGGCAGCAAAGTTGATAACGGCAAAGCCTTGGTCGAGTCCTTCATGCAGAAGTGGGTTTCAAGCACTTCTTTTTGTCGGTGTACTTCTGTATAGATATATCCTGTTGTATTCAAAAAGCAAAGCCATCTTGCGGGAGAGAGAGCAACGTGAGCGCGCCCGTGTGATGCAATGCAGTCGTCACCGGATAAGTATCAGAGCGTCAAGGCCATTCAGGTCAACCGGGCCCGCATCAAGGAGCGTATCCAAGAGAAGCACCGACAGCAAAGCCAGCAGGCACGTCAAGGGCGTTTAAGCGGCCTGCGCGATACAGACAGCCACGGCGAGGTGTCCTCCGACGAGCAACCAGCTCCGTGGCCAATCAGCGCACGGGGAAGCTCCTCGCCTACAGGGCCTGTGCCTACATTCACTTCCGCTTCTTTTTCTCCAGCGATGTGCGTCAACGCCGATGGCACGCTGATGATGCAGGTGGTGCAGGACTGGTCGGATATCGGGCACGAGTTTGGCGTGAACATTCACGACACGGAAGTGATGGACTGCTTGCTAGCTCTGGAGGACGAAATACGGCACGAGCAACTCTTCCATTTTTACGACCAGACCAACAGGAATGAGTGGGAGGAGTATTACAACTCCCTGACTTCGTAGTGAGTTGTATGTGCCGCGCATATTCTCCCTTTTGTCAGCTTCCTGTTTTAGTTGTTGGTGTTCTGCTCAGCACTCAGAGGTGTTGTCTCTGTTGTGTGTTGTTTTTCTTTTTTCTTTCTGTTCGTTGCGCCTCGCTCAGTTGTATGTGCGAAGTCTCGGGAAACGAAAGTGTATTACTGCTTCCTCTCAAGGCCTTTTGCGTTGTTTCCCTCTTCCTTTCATTTGCGTTGCACTCGGGAAACCTCTGTGTGCGTGGGTGGCATGCTCAGCATTCGGTGCTTTTAGGCGGTACATTAGCCAGCATGCTTTTTTTTTGTTCCTGCTTGTTTTTTTTTTTTGCAGCTCCTCACTGTTTTCTTTTTTTCTTCTTGTCGCCGATGGTGCTTCTCTCCTCAACGAACTCATCGCATCCAACCCACATCGCGCTTAAATTTCACATTTCCACAAGCCATCACTCCCACACAAACACCGAGGTGCGGACATGATGCCGGACAAGCGCATCCACACAACTGAAGCAAACGCTTGTTTTCGTGTTTTCCATATACAAATGTACGCAACTCTTTTGTAACGGTATAGCACATCGCATAGAGGCACATTTCTCTGCATCTCATTCCCTTTCTGTTTTTTCCTCTCTCTTCCTCTCTCCCCATCTTGCGCGGTCGGATCGCTTCCACGTCATTTTGCCCCCCTCCCCTGCGACCGATTGTGGTTTCCTTTCGACAACGTGTGAGTTGGTGAAGCGAGTGCGTAGTTTTATTCTGTAAACCAAAATCTTCACTGTTGCGAGCCCAACGGAAACCAAGTCAAAATACTCCGGTCCTACAAAGTACCCCAAGAAGAAGGTGAAAAAGGGTCTCGTTGCGTACCAACGCCGGGTCGCAATGGAGTTAACAGCGACGCTGAAGGAGTGCGTGCGGCATTTCTTCATCCATCACAGCGAACCCCCACGTCCCCTTGCCTCTCACAACGATGTCGCGGACTCAAACCTTGCTTCTTCATCCGCCGCTGCCTCCTCCTCTGCGGGTGGGCGAACGATTTTCATTCAGGAGGTGGACTGCATGAAGCTGCTGGATGTGTGCCCTGAAGTGGGCACAGCCCTGCTGCTGCAGACCACGAGCGTGATGGACACCTTGCGAGTCGTCTGCGCAGACCTGTGCAGGGAGGCGGGGCAGTCGTCGATCGTCAGCCACAGCATCTCCCTCCGTCTAACGCACGTCCCGGCTGCCATGACAGGGCTGCCGTCGGTGCCGCCATCGGGCGGGCAACTCGTGCAGCTGTGCGGGTCGATCATTCGAATGTCCACGAAGCGTGTGGTGCCCTACGCGTCCCGCATCATGTGCCCGCGCTGTCGAGAGACGACAGAGGTGTTCACAAACCCTTTTGATCGCGCCACGGAGGCAAAGGCGCACTGCACTCAGCCGGCCTGCAAACACGAGCCGATGCAAGTCATCGGCCAGGTCTGGATGGACTACGCGGAGTGCCGCCTGCAGCAGCGATCGAACCAGTCCGGCCGGCTGCCACGCAGCGTTCTCGTTACACTGGATGATGAGTTGAGCATGAAGTGCTCCGTCGGCCAGTTCGTTGAGGTGGTCGGTCTCGCCTTCCCCAAGTGGCGCCACGTCTTTCCCTCCAGCCGGCCCGCGATCGAGCCGGCGATTTGGGCGGTGAATGTGCAGCCGATGGAGGCGTACCGCGGCGCCGCTGCGGGGGTTGCCGGCGGGGCTGCCGGCCTCCGTCGACGCGCCGGCAAAACCGACCGCCCAAAGTTCAGCCCGGAGCACTTTTTCGTGTCGTTTTGCAAGAACAAACGCCAGCGCGGCGTCACCCTCGTGCGCTCCGTCTGCCCGCACCTCTCCGGCCTCTTCGCCCCCCGCCTCGCCGTGCTGCTCTCCGCTCTGGGCGGGGCCTCCACCACCGGCAAGACCGCCATGCACATACGCAGCACGATTCACTGCTTGTTTGTCGGCGACCCGTCCACTGGCAAGACGCAGCTGCTGCGATTTGCGGCCGCCATCGCGCCGCGCAGCACGTCGACGACGGGGATGGGCAGCACCTCCGCCGGCCTCACAGTGGCGGCGGCGAAGGAGCACGGGGAGTGGGTGCTGGAGCCCGGTGCCCTCGTGCTGAGCGACGGCGGGTCGTGCATCATTGACGAGCTGCGCACCGTCTCCCCGGCTGACCGCGCCTCTCTGCACGAGGCGATGGAGCAGCAGACCATTTCCGTGGCGAAGGGCGGCCTCGTCACGAAGCTGCGGACGAACTGCGCGGTCTTATCCGCGTGCAACCCACCCACCCGCCGCGGTGGTCGCACCGAGATCGGCGTTGGCGGTCCGCTGTTGAGTCGCTTTGACTTCATTTTTCTCCTCTGGGACACCCCGCAACCAGAGGTGGACGCCCGCATCGCGTCCCACATGCTACGCGCCAACACGGGCGCGCAGACCGTGCTGGAGGAGAAAGAGTTGACGACGGAGGAGGTGGCGCGGTATTTGTGGTGGATTCGCACGCAGTACGCCGCCGCGGACGGCCCGCTGCTCTCCGACCCGGCTGCCGATCTGCTCGGGCGCTACTACGAAATTCAGCGCCAACGTGGCGCCACGCCGTCTTTGGACGACGCCGTGCCCGTGACCGTCCGCTTTCTCGAGTCCCTCGTACGACTCGCCCAGGCACACGCGAAGCTGCACCTGCAGACGATCTGCACCCTGGAGGACGCGGCGATGGCGGTGTTCTTGATGGAGCGGACGGCCTATAGTCTCAAGTGCCCGCTCGATGCCGTGCAGGACGGCCTGTACAGCAGCTCCCGTGAGCTGGACGAGGTGTTTCTGTCCGACACCCCCGATGCCCTCGCACAGCAGGAGGCGGTGCTCGCTGCCATTGTCGATGTCATGTTCCACTACCGCCTCCCTGCCACGGCCAGCGGGGACGCGTACGACGGCTACGAGGACAGCAACTCCAACTCGAGTCGCGGAGAGAGAGACGTGGCCTTGGCGGATCTGCCCTTTATGCAGGCAATGCGTGCGACCGATGCGACGTCTCCGTCGCCGGTGCATCCGCCGCACCTAACACCCGTCGCACGAGGTGATCCTGCTCTCTCCAGTCAGGAAGGCGAATGGCTGAAGGAGGACGGCACGCTGCTGGCCCAACGCAACGGCCCCTCGGCGCTGCTGCAGGCCAAAACGCTCGCCATCATCTCCAGCGCAGCACGGCTGGCAGACGAGGTGGGGCGGACATCGTGCACGGCCTACAGCGTCGCACGGTACGGGGCCAGCGGCAACGGTGCGGCCGACTCGTCGCCTGGTGCCGTCGCGGCAGTGCTGTCCTCGCAACGCGCGAGTCGAAGGTTGCGGTCATCGCCACGAAAATCGGCACCGCCTATGTCTCAGCAGAGGCTGCATGGAGCGAACTCAGCCACACAAAAAGAAGCTGTTGAGGGATGGCAACGGGATGTGGTCGAGGAGGCGGAGGAGGAGCTGCTGATGCCGGACAGCGAGCACAATTCTGCAACGTCCAGCGCTTCGCCCTCGCAGGCCCTGCCGCCCCCGTCGCTGCCGTCCGCGCCTCTTCGTACGGCAGGTTCCTTCGCTGTCCCCTCTCGTCCGCTTTCGATGCCACCCAACGGCACGCGTAAGCGAACGGCCGAGGACGTTATGCGTAGTCTGCGCTATCGGCGATAATATGCATGAAGGTGTGTTATGGTGTGCATCGCAGCGTATGCAAAAGCCATGCGAAACACGTTGACTGCTTTACGTGTTCTTTGGCCAAACGCCTCATTGTGTTTGGCACAACATAAGTATTGTCGGCTTCCAAAGAATGAGAATGAAAAGCAGAAAACAAAGAGCTCTTAAAAAAAAAAAAGCGCACTCGTATTCGTGTAAACAACAACAAGAAAAGAGAGACGCCGGGTCATTGCAGTGGTGTGATTCCATAGCCGTTTGGTATCCGTTTTTCCAACACTAGTCAGTGGTGGGAAGTCGTGAAGGAACGTTTGCTCTGATTTGCGGCACCGAAATCCTTCTTATCTGCGTGTATTTCCCCTCTCTTCAACATTTTACTGTCGCACATTCCTAAACACGACAAAGTCGTGCTTTTAAGCCGTCTTCGCGTTGTTCCTCACAGAATTCTCAGGAAGTGCACATCAGCCTATACACCGTTGTGCACGCCCATTAGCCGTTCCCAAGACGCGCCTCCGTTTTTTTATTTTTCTTTCCTTTGCTGCGGAACAAGGCGACACGAGTCCCACGGAGGATCGGCTCCGACCGTGCGAAGGCGAAGAAATTAAGCACCTCTTTTGTTTGGAAAACAAACTCACAAAACAGCTACAATAAAATACATACTTTCACGCAAAAAAGAAAGAAAAGGGAGTCAAAAATGCCAGCTAACAAGGATGACAAGCAGAACAACCCGTCACTGGAGTTGTTGAACCAGTATGCCAAGTACTTCCCACACGTCCTCTTCACCAGCCAAGATGCGCTGGAGAAGTACGCATCAAAGATGGACCCCGACACGTACCGCGACTGCGTGGATCTGCAGGAGGGCGAGGAGCCGCCGGAGTCGACGAACCCGCGCGAGCACATGTACGTGCTGACGAACCTCGTCGGCCGCAACCCGACCACGGCCGCCTTCGTCGCGACCCGCGGCTCCGACCCAAACGAGAAGGTCGTGGCGAAGTTTGTGATGCTGAACGACGACAAGCAGGCCTCCTACGCGCGTAGCGAGCTGCACTGCCTGGCCGCCTGCACCCACTTTGGTATTGTGAAGCACTACGACGACTTCAAGTCGGAGGACAAGCTGCTGCTGATTATGGAGTACGGCAGCGGTGGTGATCTGAACAAGCAGATCAAGCAGCGCCTGAAGGAGCACCTACCCTTCCAGGAGTACGAGGTGGGTCTTCTCTTTTACCAAATTGTGCTGGCGCTGGACGAGGTGCACTCCCGCCGTATGATGCATCGGGACCTGAAGAGCGCCAACATTTTCCTCATGCCCACCGGCATCATCAAACTGGGTGACTTCGGCTTCTCGAAGCAGTACAACGACTCCGTCTCCTTGGACGTCGGCTCGTCCTTCTGTGGCACGCCCTACTACTTAGCCCCAGAGCTGTGGGAGCGCAAGCGCTACAGCAAGAAGGCGGACATGTGGTCCCTCGGCGTCATCCTCTACGAGCTGCTCACGCTGCACCGCCCCTTTAAGGGCCCGTCGCAGCGGGAGATCATGCAGCAGGTGCTGTACGGCAAGTACGACCCCTTCCCGTGCCCGGTGTCCGCCAGCATGAAGGCGCTGCTCGACCCCCTCCTGTCGAAGGACCCCGAGGACCGCCCAACGACGCAGCAGCTGCTGCAGACCGAGTTCATGAAGTATGTCACAAACCTTTTCCAGGACATCGTGCGCCACTCCGAGACGATCCCCCCAAAGGACCGGGAGGAGATTTTGAAGCAGCTGCAAGAGAGCAACGAGCGAGCGCCGCTGCCGTCGTCGATCCGCTACGGCGTGGTCAGCTCGCAGGTGACGCAGGGCGGCTACCTGTACAAGTACGGCTCCGATTACCGCTGGAAGAAGCGCTACTTCTTCATCGGCAACGGCCAACTGCGCATCTCGCTCAGCGACAACCCCGAGAACGACGGGGTCGCACCCAAGTCGGTCAACCTGGCCACCGTGAGCGATGTCTTCCCCGTCCCCGAGGTGTACTCGCAGAAGCATCCGAATCAGCTGGTGATTTGGTTCAACAACGGACAAAAAATCATCGCCTACGCCAACACAGTAGAGGACCGCGACATGTGGATCTCCAAGTTCCATCGCGCATGTGGGATGTGATATAGGAAAGAAAAGAAAAAAAGTAATCATTTTCGACTGTTTATTTGTTGCTGCGAGTACGAATGCGCGTTTTTTCCGCGCTTGCGAGTTGTCCGCAGGTCAGCGATTCGCCGTGTGGGCCCTTCGCAAATCGAAATACACTCAAACACACAAAAGGCAAAAGCGGTGAATGCGGCGTGGCATTGGCTTTCTTATCTTTCTGTTTCTGTTTCTATTCCTTGCTCTTTCAGTACTGGAAAACACTTCTGTAGGTGTTCGTGTGCTTTTTTGTTTTGGTACGTCGTAGGTTTCAGCTTAGGGACGGCGTAAGTGCGGCGCGGTCCCTTGACGCTCTTCGTGGTGCGTGCTTTCGTTGCCCTTTTCCCCATGTTATTCAGTTAGCGGAAAGGGAGAGAACGAGAGAGCAGGAAAGAATTCGTTGCTGTTTATTCTTTTTTCCTATTTTCCTCTGTTCTTTTAGGCGCAAAGGTCTCGTTTCCGTAAATGTTCGTGTACGGAGTTGGAGTGCGGTTTCGGCGTCGACTCTTCTACGTGCATGCGACTTACACTAATAAGCCCATTGAGCAAGGGGAGTAGACCTTTCGCAAAAGAAAAAAAGAAGGAAAGTGACGTGAACATTTCATAGTCCACCAGCAGCGCCTTTTTTTCCTCTCCTCTCCTCCTCCCTTTTTTTTTAATGTCTAGTATAACTGCGCATGTTTTTTGTTTCACAAGACGAATATATTTCTTCTCTTCCCAAATCCTGATTGAGGACATGCTTTTTTATACTTCATTCTACAGTTTTCATGATATAACAAACCTGGGGCCTCGTGCTGCTCCGCGACGGGTAAAGTTCAAACCTATACACTTTCTTGTTGTTTTTACCCCTTTTCTAAATCTTTCCCCCCCTGTGCGACCTCGCGCCAGTCTTTTTGTTCTTTGTGTTCCTTTTTTTTTTGTCGCACCGCTGCCTGCGTTCGACGTCTCGAATATAAAAATTCAGGCGGAAGATGAGTGTGGTTCTTTATTTCTCCCCTTGGTATTGTTACGCGGGGAGCTTTTTGTTTTCCTGTGTCTTCTCGCTGCTTGAAATCAAAACCTGAAGGCGTGCAGAGCAAACGTGCGACGATGTAAATATGTACCTGATTTGTTTTCCTTCGAGTCTTCCTCAAAAAAAAAAAAATGACAATGCGCGAGCCATTTTTCTACGTGCGCGATTGCGTTCTGCAATACTGATATTTTAGTTCTCAAGGCAGGTCAGCACACCTTGATCTTGTACCACTCACGTTGTGTTATTATCATTATTATTATTATTATGGTTAGGAGCAGCTCTTTTTCTACTGCGCGACAACCGACACATCTCCCCCTCATTTTGCTTGCACGCGTAAGAATTGTTTTTGTGTTTTGGCTGCATGCTTCTCTCTTAAATACACCTTTTTTATTACTATTTCACACATATGCCAGCAGAACGTACGTTTTTTCTTCTTTCTCGTGTTTGTGTAAGTCGTTTACTTCCTTTGTTAGTGCCTTCTTTTTAATATATATATCTATCCATCTCTACGTAATGGTGGAGTAGCGCGATTTCGTGAAGGTGAGTTATATATATGTATGTTTAAAAAAAGAGGATCGCTGTACGCTCTCAGCAAAAAAAAAAAATGAACAGATGCACACAAACAAAGTAAATAATTGCTTTTTGCCTTTTCTTTTCACAAGTTCAAAAAAGACAGCTGTGAGAAGTTCTTCTTAAGATGGTACGTGTGCGACTGCACGACCCACTCATGACGACGGGACACTGGCTACATCGATGTTGGCCGCTTTCAGAAGGCTGGCTCCCGTTGTTTCTTTATTCCTCGCAGGTTATGCAATCCCTGGGCGTACGTCACGGGCAAAACAACGCGGGCGTGACGTTTCCGAAACGGATGCCGTAATAACAACAACAACAACAACAACAGAAGTACGGTTTTCAGCGTTATGTACGCGGCACCGGAGTTTCGTTTGCCTCGACCAACTCTCGCTGCTCTGCTGCTTCTCTCCTTGGTTTTTTTTCTTACACCTTTCTTTGTGGTGTTTTCCTCATTGTTTGTTGTAGTGTCTGTCACACTCACACTCACACACACAATCGTTTCGGCACACTACCTTGAATTTTTCAAGATTTCACATTTACCTTAACCATTCACGTTCTATCAAAAGAAAGAGAAACTGTCGCTGTTCGTTCCCTTCCTGGCGACTGAACCTGTGTGCGTCTGCCCCACAAGGTGGTGATTCGACGCTGAGTGGTTTTAACCCCCCGTATTTAAAACCTTAACTTCGCTGTGCTAATCCACGTTGAACCTTTTCTTTTATATATATTCCATATATATATATATATATATATATATATTCCTTTTGTTTTCTAGATGTAAGGCTGACGCTGAAAGTCAGCCTTGTTTATGTTTGCATCTCTTCTTTCGATCGGTATCACTGTGCTCTCCTAGTGTCGAAAGTATACGGTTACTTTTGCAGGTGACGCCCCATACAAACGAACAAACAAAAAGGGGGGCGCCGCCACGGAAGCGCTTCTTCTGGCAGCGCTTTACTAGTCCTGCGTTATTATTATTATTATTTTCGTGCACGTTAGAATCGATTTCGAAATTTATTCGTGCTTAAGACGTTCCTCTCTTCATTTCTGGCACAACAAGGTTCCTTTCACTCCATCGTCGCCATACACGCTGCATCAAGCCGATTCACTGGATGCGGCGGTTGTCCCTCGCCGCCACTCGAAAGTGAAGTCAAAAGCCGCTATCATTCGGGAGCTCTCCGCTACGATGAGCGCGTCCTCCTCAAGGTCGTCCTTGTCGCCGAGCTCGTCGAACACGCCGGTGCTGCCGCCGATCGTCCCGTCGCAAAATGCCGTCGTCTCGTCCCGCGTGGCGCCGCGAATGATGCGTCAGCAGCGAGCGCTGCCCTCCGTCGGCCGCGAGTTGTCCGCGCCGTGTGCGTCGAACATGCCCACCTTTTACCCGCAAAGTCTGTGGTGGGACGCGCAGCAAGGCAAGGAGGACCTGGACAAGATCGTGCGCAAACGCACGTACCGTAGCAGCGACTACCCGCCCATGACGATCGGCAAGTACGTGTCCGACCCGACGGGGAGGGACTTCTCGGATCCCCGCTACGTCCCCAACGAAACCTCGGCTCCCGGTACGGCCCGCTCACGATCTTCTTCCCGCCCCGCACGGCGGGCGGACGGCACCGCGGCCGGCCCGGCCAGTCGCACGTCGAGCGTTGCCGCAACGAACTACTCGACCTGCACCACCACCACTACCACCACGGCGACGTCCACCACGAAGAACTCTGACGAGGAGGAGGACGACTTGGCGCTGCGTGTGGCGGCCAAGCGCAAAGCCTACACGGTGGTAGTCCCGCTGTACCCCTCGTCGGCCGCCAGCTTCTACTTCCCTCCGTCGTACGCGCAGTCGTCTCGAGACATGAGTGACCGGCGAGGGCCGCCGAGGAAGATCAACGAGGACTTACACCCGAACGACCGCGCCGACATGCCGCTGTCGTTTGTGCAGGTGCGAGAGAACAACATGAACCGCATGGGTCTCTATAAGATCGGTCCTGGCGCGGTGGCATTCAACGCCGTCATGAAGGCGTTTGAGGCGGCGGGGCTGAAGTACACGGACTCGAACAAGGACTTCAACGTGCTGTGGGCGAAGCGCGCCACCGTCTACACTCTGTCGTCAATCAACGCGTATCAGAAGGTGAACCACTTCCCTGGCACCTGGGGTGTGGGTCGCAAGGACCGCCTTGCCGCGAATGTGCGCCGCATGCAGCGCTACTTTGGTCGCGACGTGTTTGATATTGTACCGACGACGTTTTTAATCCCACAGGACGAGGCCGATTTGCGCCGCGACGCCGAGCAAGACCCCGGCACTCCGGAGAAGCCGCTCATCTACATCGTGAAGCCCGGCGCGTCGAGCTGCGGCCGTGGCATTCATCTGTTCCAAGGCATACCGCCGATGCCGCGTGGTGGGGGCCGAGAAAAGGAGATGGTCTGCCAGCGCTACATTGGCAACCCGCTACTCATCTACGGCCGCAAGTTCGATCTGCGCCTCTACTGCGTTGTCACCTCCTTCGACCCCCTCCGCATCTACTTGTTCGACGAAGGCCTCGTGCGTTTCGCCGCGGAGAAGTACCGCGGGCCGGACCAGGACATCGAGAACATCCATGTGCACCTCACGAACTACTCCGTGAACAAGACGGCGGAGCTGAGTCGAGAGAGCAACGGCAAAGATTACGAGAGCGACGACCCGCTGGACATTAAGTGGTGCATTTCGGACTTCAAGCGGCACCTAGAGACGCACCACCCTCTCGGGCGGAGCGCGTGGGACCGCATTCAGGCGGAGTGCGAGGATGTCGTCATCAAGACTTTCCTCAGCATCGAGCACAGCGTCATTGAGGAGGTGGGCCGCAACTGCGCCGATCGCAGCGGCCGCAACTGCTTCGAGCTCTTCGGGTTAGATTTAATGGCCGATGATGATCTGCACGTACGCCTGCTTGAGGTGAACATCATGCCCTCGCTCGCCACCGGCAGCTCACTGGACAAGGCGGTCAAGTCTCGCATGCTGGCGCACATGCTTACCCTCGTGCGGGTTATTCCCTACCGCCGTGACAGCCAGCTCGACGCGGACAACTCGGAGGGCGTCTACGTGCCGCGTGGCATCCAACGACAAACCGGCGAGCGCAGCTACAAGTTCGGCAAACATCCGTTTCCAAGCTCCCGAATCGTGGAGCAGCCGCTGCTGGCCGCCTTCAACGACCCGAGCGTCGAGGATTCGTACCTGTCCAAGGCAGAGACCTTAATGCTGCGCGAGTACGAGGAGGAGCTACATTGCAGCGGCGGCTTCCGTTGCGTCTACCCGGCCGGCGAGACTGTGGAGCGCTACCTGCCGTTGTTCTTGCACGGTGTGCGCCGCAGCAACTATGTGCTCGCTTCTGCGGCTGTGATGAAATCGCAAAATCCAGGAAAACGGTTGTTTGAATCCTGAGCACCGCGGTACAGGAAATTGTAACGGTTTGGTACCGCTGCTGCGGTGCACCCAACGGTGTACTTCTGGCTTCTTGCAAGGGAAGAGAACGTACACGAACGGAGCGGTGGGTGCTGCTCAGGAGAGGTGTCCTCTTTCCCAGCATCGCCGCGGATCAAAGCAAGTATAGCGAATACCATCACGGTGGAGCTGCTTTAAAGGAGAGTGAAGAGGAGCACCGATCCCACGGGGTACGCGGCTGACCTTGAGACAGCGCTCGACAGCTACGACGCGCAAACACCCCAGCTGCCGAAGAGAAAAGAAGATAAGATCTGGCTAAAGGAAGCCGTCGGTGCGTTTCTCTTCCTCCCCCTTTTGTTTTATATATGTTCCTTTAAGTACCTTAAAATACGTTGATGTTTTTTTTTTGATAGTTTACGAAAAGAGTGGAATGATGAAAAGAGTAAGAATGATACGAGGAGGATGAGGAACAATGGCTCCGACGTTTGCTGATAACATGATTTCTACCTCTACTACTCTCCCTCGCTCTTCTTCTTCGCCTTATCTTTGGAACTTGCAGAACCAAAGTTCTCACACAACTTTTGAGTTTTTTCTTTTCGACCTACCCACCCCCGTGGTTGCCCACCACGACAGGGATCCTTGGGTTTAACCAATTCAACTACCCTTGTTTGCCACTTCGTTAGTAGTGCTACCTATTAGAAAAAATGGAAAAAGAGGAAATCGCCAAGTCCAGTGCACCATCGTCCCCTGACGTTGTAGGGAGTAAGTTTGGCAGCGGGACGCTGCGCGGGGTGAATAGATAATGTGTTGGAAGTCCATCGCGAGCTTGGAGGGTGGAATCAGGTCTCAGCTAATGCATCTCTCTCGGAATCTTTGCACCTCTCGATTCTTCTATTCTTTTATTGTTGTTGTTGTGGCTGAGAAGAGCGGGAAAAGACTTCTTCTTTAACAGGAGTTTTTTTCCACATAGAAAGAGAAGTGCCCTTTATTTTCCAACACACACACACACAAGAAACTCTATTTCTTTTCTCCTCCGTCTTTTGATGTTATGGTGTTGCAACTTACAGCATCGTTGCAGCGTCAAAACGCTGTCACGGGCAGCATCGGGGAAGCGGTTGATCGTATGAGTCGACGCTGCGCGATAACGATGAAGAATCTGTCTTTTTCTCCTCTTCTATCATCATCATCACTATCACGCCTGGGCGTGCTGAAGGACATCCCTTGTACCATCTGCGTATACACCGTCGTGAAGACGGTATCAATCGATATACACATGCATGAAGTATGAAATTAACGACCATAGCGAATGTGAAAGGTACACAATTTAAGATAAAGCTTTTTGTTCAAAGCCTTCAATGTCGGGTTTTAAACATCACACTGCATCCGCGTGCGGACGTGCATCTGGTTACGTCTCAACACAACCAGTGAACCCCCAATGGCTTGACGCGCGTTAGTTTCTCTCCACCTCACTGGCCACCTCGATACTCCTGTTCTCATCGACCCTTTGTTTATTCTCTCTTCGATTAATGTTGGGCGAACATCTTTGCTACCCTGTTCTATTTCGATAAAAACACAAAAATTAAACACATATATATGTGGCTCTGCGCAGCCCGCCCCGACGACACGCATCGAACGCATTTTAGCAGCTCTCTTGTCTCTCTCTCTTTTTCCTTTTCCTTGTTTGCAAGTATGTTGGACTACCTCATCCCCATCGCGATCGCCGTGGTCGGCATCGTCGTCATGGTGTACATCTTCCAGAGCATCAACAAGTCGGAGGTCAGCGCCGTGTCAGCTGAATCGACTCGCAAGCCTCGCGCGAAGAAATCGCAGCACCCGTCCCACAAGTACCGCGAGGACGTTCTGGACATCGCCACGGAGCAGCTGATTGCCCGCGAGGTGGCCCGTGCGCCGACTGGCATGGTCACCGACACCAAGACGGTCGCCCCTACCACGCTGGACAGCATCCGCAGCCGCCGCAACGCCAAGGAGGAAAGCCAGCATACGGTGGCCACGGCGAAGCTTAGTGAGCGCCAGAAGCAGGTGGTGAAGGACCAGGGCTTCACCGTCGTCGAGAAGCAGAAGCCGGCAGCGAAGCACCAGCAGCAGCAGAAGCAGCAGCGCGAGCAGGAGCCGACCACCTCCACCGAAGACCTAGAGAAGAAGCTGAGTCTTTTTTTCAAGAGCAGCGGCAGTCGCAAGGCGAGGGAGAGCAAGCCGAAGGCCGAAGAGAACAGCAGCGAGCCGGCCAGCACCCGTGGCACGGTGACCATGAAGGGCAACATCGGCGTCGCGAAAGGCTGGCCGTTTAAAGAGGCTGCTGCGGAGCAGGAGGCGCAGCTGTGAAAATGGAGAGCCGTGCTTTGCGCATTCATCGATATGTAGACATATATCTCGACCATTTTTTTTCCCACAATGTCACCTCGTTTTTCTTTCGATGTTGTCTGGCTGTCTGTCCGTGTGTGTGTGGTCGCTGCTGTTGTCGCCGTGGTTTGGAAGGCTGCCGAAGCGATGCGATGGAGCAGCTGAGAGGAAAGCAAGCACATTTGAAGCACAAGCGACAAACAGCGGTAGTAATTGATGTGGGTAAAAGCAAAAGAAACCCTCCGTGACGGTGTGTGCTTCGGGTTCGACTCAAAAATCTTCCTCTTGAAAAGAAGAGAATCGTATTACGCTGCAAGCAACGAGTGTAGCGATTTGTGGTGTTCCTCTGGGCTTTATGAGAAACTATTGCTGCTTTTCACTACGCGTGTGCTTTTGAGAAATTGTGACGTCAGGTTTACGAGATGGAGGCGTTGTTTGATGGCCCGTTGTGGACTCCCACCCGAGGACGTGTGAGGAACGCCGTGGCAGGTCTGTGAACGGCAGAGTCTTCCAACTCGTTTCATTTTGTTTTCCGGGTTTTTCTTTTTTCCCCTTTGTTGTGTCGGGCTGCGGTGGCGTTGTATTGTTGGTTTTCATCCTCCCTTTTTTTTTTTTCCTGTTCGCCGTCGACGTGGTATAAGCTCATAAGAGTGTGTGTATTGAAACTTCCGCAATGGGCAGGAAAGAAAGAAAAGGAGAAAAACATCAACGAACCAGGAAGTCTCCCCATGCACGACGTTGCACAATATGGCTTAAAATCGCGCTCCAGGAACATACGTGGGAGACGGTGCTTCGTGGCATCTGCCTTGCTATTCCTGCACATCTCAATTTTCTTCTCCCCTGCGCGCATGGTACACCCGTTCAAGAATACGGTTAAAAGTAATCTGAAATGCCTTTATTGACTTGTGATTCGAAACACAAAGAAGTGCACAAACAAAAAGATTGTCGGTTTCTCCACTCCGTTAGCACAAATGCGAAGTGCTCGCCGTTCTTTGATTTCGCGTATCACTCTTACTCTTCTCTCCTTCGCTTTTTTCCTTTTCTTCCTTTCTTGTTTGTACGCTTCAGTTTTGCCTTTACTAACCACCTCGACTTACGTCACTCTTCTCCGTTCTTTCTTTATGCGTTATCTGAGTAAAATTGATTTTTTTTTTTTACAGTGAAAAGATAACATTTCTATTCTTTGTTTTTCCCTTCCTCTCCCTCCTCTTTTCTCTCTCTCTTCTTTTTTTTGTTGTTTTTGTTTCTCTTGTGCGTTCACGGCGAGCGCAGTGTACAGGAGCCACCCTTGTTCTTCTCTTCAGTTTCGTTGGTGCACAACAGGTACGCAGACGGGAAACCCTTTCTTCCCAACTGGTTTCCTTTTCTTTCATTATCTCGCTCTTATTGACACGCTTCACCCCTCCCAACTTTCTTATTCTACGTGTGCGTCACGAGGTTTCGCAAGGGTATCTCACAGGTTTGTCCTTCAACGGCAGCGCACGGCTCACATTAGACGGAGCACCCACGACTCGTTATTGCGTGATTGAACGAGAAACCGTCTCCCTGCTCTCACTTTGCATCCATCGTCTCTGCTCCCCGTCTTTTTTTTTCCTTTTTTCGTCTTTTTTTTCTCTTCTTGCAGCGCATTGTGTCCCTTCACGCCCACACATATCCATTCGCCAGGCGCACAGGCTTCCTCCCTCTTTACTCGCCTTTCCTTACTACTTCAGGTTTTTTTTTTTAAGAGGCGTTGTAAGTGTGTGCTTGTGACACTGGGTATTTCTGTGTGTGCGTGCCTGTCTGTGTATACGGTTTCACCAAGCCAAAACTGGAAAGCTAAAGAACTGCGCTCACGCCTGTACCTCCCCCTGTATTCGCGTCGGCTTTATCGTAGTGTTCCGCCCTTCGTACGTGCGTAGGCGCAACTTCGCTACTGTCACTCCTTCTTCTTCTTCGTTACGTTTTGTGATAGAAACAGAACGAAGAGAAGAGGTTCCACATTTAGCTGCGTTCGCCTCTCGCATCACGTGCTTGAGAGGAAGCTAATAGATCTGTCTCCTTAAACAAGCAAACAACAACAACCAAAAAGAGAAAGAGAAGAGAGGTGCCTTTGTTGAACAACAGCACTACATATATATCAATAGTAAGTAAGTCTTATATCTATATATCTATATATCTATATATATATATAGATATATCTCGTTTTCCGTCCTCTTTTTTATTGTGTGCTGTTTCCTTTTTTTTCCTTCTTTCTGATTTTGGAACTGTGCCGATTTAACTTCACAGGCTCAGGACCCTCGACATAGCTGGTAGACATTCCCTTCTTCTTAATTCTTTTTTTTTGTTTTCTATCATCTGCTGTGTCCGGCTTTGTATCTGTTTTCTTCTGTCTCGCTATTTCCACCGCGCTTGCCTTCTTGCGTTGCCCTGCGTGCTTTCTCTCTCTTCGTTCTCGCGCGTACAAACAGTCCCTCACACTTTTCCACAGCACCCACACACGTGCGACGGCATCAACAACACAGAGAAGACGTTCGCAGATCGAACGAGCATAGTGGATTGCTGTCTTCTATTACGTCTCGGTCCGCTTCTCGGCAGGGGTTTCTCGCTGAACTCCCTCTTTGTACTTCTTCTTTTGTTGAACTCGCAAGGCCCACGCACGCGCACCCACGTCCGAACACTTCTTTTGATATCTTTATAATTAAATATCAAAAACACAAAATCGTCATTATATTGCGTGTGAACAGCTTACCCATCCGTTTCTTTGCATTTGCGCTTGGAGTCTTCGCCCCTGCCCCTTCCTTTTCTTGTTCTGTCCCCTCACATTCTACACGGCTGCGGTTTGCGACGAACGCATTTGCAAAGTACATAGGATAGCGAAAGCTGTTACACACACATATATATCAATACAAGGACGGTCGTGGTGCCCACAAATCTTGATTTCTTTCTCTCTCTTATTGGTTTCTTAAATAAGGACACACCGCTTTCACTAATTCAACAACAACAAAAATAAATAATAAAAAACACGTACGAGTTGCTTTCGCTGCGCTCTTCCGTCCGGCACGCCCTTTTTGTGATCCACTGTTCTACAAATCTTATTTCTTGTTTCTGTTGTTGAAAACGTGCTGGTGGAGAGTAGCTTCTACTTTTTTCTTTCTACTGTTTTTGTTTTGTTTTTTATCTCGACAGCGGGCCTCAATCATCCTTAGCAGAACCCCCAACTAGCCAAATGGACACTTCAGAGTCGCAAGGAAGCGCCGCTGCACAGACAATGCGCGCGGTGGAGGAGCCGCGGCTGACGTCGTCGTACCTCGACGGCGGTGCCGTCAAGCCCAACCCGGCAGACCGCAGCGGCGAGGTCACCGTCGGCGAAGGCTCGTCGAAGGACGACGGCGAAAACACCGATAATGTTCCGGCGGTCATTGTGCACGTCCGTCAGAACTTCGGTGTGCTTGCACCGGTCATCGAGCCGTACATCTACCGTAGTGGGTACATCACCCGTTCTCCGTCCGACGTGTACCTGCACCTCTCGCGCAACTACGCCATCATCGTGGACTCGGCGATGAAGCAGGTCGGGTATGATAAGTTCATGCTCCAGATGCAGGCGATGCTCACACAAATCCTCTACCCAGAGTTCGGCGCCGACACGGAGTTCCTCGTGAACACGATCTTGGCCTACAACAGTGAGAACACGCTGTTTGTGTCGCTGCTCAGCCGCTCCGTGCTGAGCGACCTCGTCAACTACGCCCAGCAGATGATCCAGAGCAACATGTTTTACAACACGGCCGATGGTGCAACCGGCGGTGGCGGTGGCGGTGGCGGTGGCGGTGGCGGTGGAGGCGGCGGTGGTGGTGGTGGTGGTCGTGGTATGGACAGCAACGGTGGGGGCAGCAACTACTACCGCGGTGGGGGCCAGCAGGGCTACCGCAGCGGGGCGAACAGCAGTGCCATGCGGGAGTACCGCAGCGGCCCCACCGGCAGCACCAATCACAACAGCGGCAACAGCGCCGGAGCGAACCAGCAGGAGGGCATGGGGACCCAACGGCCGTACCGCAGCAGCGGTGTACCCCCGCAGGGCGGCGACGGCGCGTGGGAGCGCAGCAGCGAGGACCCGCGGGCGAACAGCGACGTTCTCTCCCAGCGCGAGGAGAGCAATAATAGAGAGTGGGGCTTGGGTCCCCAGCGCGGGGGCGGTGGCGTGGCCACACCCAACCCAAAAGCGCCTGTAGATCCCAACGTAGCCACCGCCCGCGCTGGAAGTGCCGGTGGGGCGGGGGGCGACCTCAGCGGGGTGCCGCCGCCGAACGCAGGGCGAACGGAGCTGTCGGCGAGCCGGCCCGGCAGCGAAGTGCCGGCAGCCGCTGCCGTGATGCCACGTCACAACCATTTTGTCAGCCCGCAGTCCAGCGCTGGCGCCGTGGCTGGAAAGTCCACCGGCGGTGCACCGGAGCGCGGCGTTGTTGCCGGGATGCCGCAGCATCACTTCTTGCCGCCGCGCATTTCCCCTACGACTGCGGTCACTGCGGCCAGCAACCCTGCAGCCATGACGGGGCGCATGCCCACGATGACTTCGGCCAGCATGTCGCAGAGCAGCACCCCAAATCCGATGCCTTCGATGATGCATCCAAGCGGTAATGCAATGATGCACGCACACCTCCACGCCAACATGCAACAGCAGCAGCAGCTGATGGCCAACGGTATGAGCGTAAAGCAGAACGACTGGCAGGGCAACGGCAGCGGCAACATGTCCCCGATTACGCCGGTGACGCCGCAGCGCACCGTCACACCACCCTCCCCGCAACACATGCAGCCGCCACCACAGCAGCAGCAACAGCAGCAGCAGCAGCAGCCCACCCGCATTATGAGTATTCCCGCTCCGCTGAGCGTGCAGCGTCGCGCAGAGGAGAAAAACGCAGCTGCTGCCGCCGCCGCCGCCGCTGCCGCTGCCGCCGTAAAAGCCGCGAGTGCTGCAAGCAACAACAGCGTGTTCACCAACAGCACCAACAATGCAAGCCCCGCCTATGTCAACCCAACCTCTCTAGCGAACGACAACGTCGCCTCCACACGCAGTGCGATGCCCGCTGTTACCCCGGCTGCCCCCACAAACACAAGCGCCACGGCTGCGGTTCCGGCGCCGCGTGGGCTGCAGGGGCCGCCGGTGCACCACCTCCACCACATGCCCGTCACCCACCATCATCACCACCACATTCGTCTGACACCCGTGCCGACGGCAGCGGTAACACCCGTCACCGCCACCACCGCCACCCACTCCCCGCCTCCAGCGAATACGGCGACCATCGCAGCAGCGGAGGAGCGCACGGGCAGCGCGAATGCCACGGCAGCCACGTCACTCTCTCCCTCCGCCAACTCTACCCCTGCTTCCGCTCTCGCGCAGCCACTGCGTGGCATGCCGCGCTTCCCCGCACACCACCACCACCATCACAGCCACCTGGTGCCCAGCAAGACGGAGGCGGCCTCTGCCCCGGCGACGTCGCCGCCGACGGTACCACCACCGCAGCAGCAGCAGCAGCAGCAACAGCAACGCGGTCTTACCTCAGTGGACCTGCACGGACAACAGCAGCAGTTGCAGCAGGAGCGTGTGACAACGGCGGCAGAAGTAATGTGGCCCAACGAGAAGGAGGAGCTGCGTGGGGTGCTGCTCAGCGCCCGTGTCTCGGAGAAGGCGGTGGCTCAGTTCATGACGCTCGACTCCGCCAGCATTGAGGAGCTGTACACGCTCAAGTACCCCGACTTCGAGAAGAAGCTGCGACCCGTCGTCACGGTGCTGCTCGACCGCCAGCGCATTCGTGGGGTGTTGATGAACGGCGCAGCGGCACAGGGTCAGGCAGCCGAGACCCCTGCGGACTCTGCTGCCAACCTCTCACTGAAAAGCACCAACGCGATGGTTGGCGACGAGCAGCAGCGAGGAACGGCAACAGCCGCTGCAACAGGAGCACCGTTGCACCCCCGCCCAACGATTACTGTGACTGTACCTGCCCAAAGTCTTCCCTCGCCGCACTCCTCTCCCACCAGCAAGTCCGGCGTGCAAGTACCGCAGCCGCGAACAAAGATGCAGCAACAGCAGCAGCAGCAAAACCCCAACGGCAGCGCCGCCGCCTCCCCGACCGACGCGAGCTACGCCTCCTCCGATTTGGAGTTGAGCAGGCGCGAAAGCAGCGTCAAGACGGGCAGCCCGTCCGGCTACGCAAACGCGAGCATTAGCAGCAACTTCCAGCCCAACAATAGCACCCACAACAGCCTCCGCCCGGACGAGTTGGAAGACACCCGGGACGAGGAGCAGCGGCGCGGCAGCGGGCGGCGTGGTGGTCGGCGTGGTGCAGCACGTGGCGGCAGCTCCTACGCCAATCGTCCTTGCAAGTACTACAACACGCCTGACGGCTGCCAGTACGGTGATAAGTGCCACTACATCCACGGCGCCAAGTAGTCTCTTTTGTGAAGAGGGACTCTCGCCTTTTTTCCTGTGTTTCTCCGTCTTGGCTGCCGTCGCAAAAAAGAGTAAAGAGGGGGAGATCCATTGACCCGTCAAAGCCCCACCTCGTAGGGAGAAAGAAAAGACTGCATGATGGGGTTGCTGCGTTCACAGACTCGTCTGTACTTCAGTTTTTCTGTGGCTTAGCTTTGCCTGTAAGTTTTCGCTTCAACGTCTCAGAAAACTCAAGCTGTTGCCCTGCCGAGTTCTTTGTTGTGCCCGTTTTCTTTTATTGTTGCTCAGTTGTATGCGTTTGTGTCTGTGTTGTTGGATATATGATGATGAGGATGGTGCTGGTGATGAATAGCAAGTATATATGCTTCTAAAAGTATATCTTTTGCCTTTGATGGTTTCCCTTTTCTCTCTTTAATTATTATCATTATTATTAGGTAGTGTATATAGAGTTTAGTACAATCGATTGGTTGTACTGCACTCATGCTTCACGCGTGGGAAACTGAAGTCCGTTAAGGGCGTCTGCACGTTAAGTGCGACCACCTGAACCTTGCTCTTCTCTCTCTCTCAGCACTTTCGTTTTTTTTTTTGGTTCACGAAACAATTACGTGCGCGCTAATGAATTGTCTCCTTCTTTTCGGCACCCACGGTCACGCAGGTTTGTATGAATGCATTTCTATATACAATAGAACTGTTGTTTTTCTTCTTCTCCTTTCATTCGTTTCTTCTTGATTTTGCCTCTTTTTTTCTTCTCTGGTTTAGCGTGTTGACGGGCTTTTGATTTTTGGTGTCCGGTTTGTTCTCTCTGTTTTTTGTTTTTTCCTTCTGTTTTTGTGTTAAAGCGTGGATCAAAGGTTCTCTATCTAACGGAAATTTAACTCTATAGCCCCCAAAAACACACACACACAAAGCAAAGCAAATATATTTATTTATGGATGTTATATTCTGGATAAAAAAGGCTAATAACCCTATTTTTGTAAAAGAGAAAAAAAACAAATGCAAACGGTTTCATCTTCTTTTTTCTTCTTCTTCTGTGTGTTCTCGCGGTGGTTCACTTGAGTAAGACTCTCCCTTTGCGTGTGTTTGTGCTTCGCCAAAGAAAATCAAAACTGGTCCCATTTCTTTGTTTATCCTTGGACTCCTCGGAAAGAAAAGAGAAGTTGGTCAACGAAGGGATTGGTGCACGCCGTCCAACGCGGTCCGGCGCGTACAGTTGCAAGAAAGAAAAACTCTGCGCGTTTTCGGCGGAGAGTAAACGTTCAATCCGCTGCGGTGCACGACTCTCTTTTGTACTCTGCGGCGAGTTGCGCGAAGGATGTTCGTGACGTACGCTGCTTTTTGCTCTCTCTCTTCTCTGGTCGCTGTGGGTGCCTCATTTACACCTGTTTCTTCTCCCTGCAACACCACTCTCTCATCACCACAAGAGCTATTTTACTTGTTCGCCCTCACAAATATATATTTATATATATACTTTAGGCGGCACCTCCGTCGCCTTCTGTCGCAACGCACTTTTCCGTGTTCAAAGCAAGCCCCTCCAAAAGGAAGAAAAGCGCAACAGTGCCTCTCCACTTTTCTCGCTTATCAAATAGCCACAACAACACCGTTCTTTTGCTTGCTTCGCAATGAGCATCGGTGCGGCAGGTCCGTCTACGAGCCCGCCGGGGTCGCCAACTTCACCGACGGCGCCCGCGTCCCCAATAAACGCCGGCCCAGCCGCCCTCTCGCCTCAGAGTGGCGCCCTCACGACCACGCCGACCACTGGGACGGTGGGGGCTGCCAACACCGGCGGCGCCATGACGACGAACGCGTCTGGTGATCTCACCAACCCGAACGGCTACAACTCCATGGGCTACGGTGGCATGGGCTACGGTGGCATGGGTTACGGCATGGACCCTTACGGTATGGGCATGGGGTACGGTGGTATGGGCATGGGGTACGGTGGCTTAGGAATGATGGGCATGGGTGGCATGGGTATGATGGGGATGGGCATGTACGGCATGACACCCGAGGCGCAGCGAGCACAGATGATGATGATGATGACGAACAGCATTATGCAGCTGTGGGGGATGTTTTCACAGGTCATGCAGATGACCCTCGGCAGCGCAGTGCAGTTCGTCGGCGAGTACGTCGGCATTAACCAGCGCCTCGGACAAATAGAGGAGGAGCATCTGAACCTGGAGGAGCGCTATCAGAATCGCAAGTACGACCTGCGCAAGGCGCTCGCTGATATTCCGAAGGAGCAGCGCTACGTGCCCAAGGCGCCACGCATGAAGAAGCCGAAGCAGCCGTCGATGGTACGACGCTTCATTGTTCGCTTGCTGCGCCACGTCGCCTTCTTTGTCGTGGCGTACTTCGTGGCGAGGAAGCTCGCGTCGTGGGTCACGGCCAGGTCAGGCAAGAAGCTGTTAGAGACGTCCGCCTCAAAGGTGTTTTCGGCACCATCAAAATTAAACTAAACTCTCTCTCTATCAAAGCCATCTTCAAAGAAAATGTAACGAGATGGAAAAGAAAATGGAGTTGTGAAGCCTGGCGCACACGTACACAGACTTGTTGGTGTGCATTGGGGATTGGGCATGCTGCTAACGAGGGGTCCCCGTGCTGCCATCCCGATTGAAATGCAAACGTGAAAAACACAACAAGGAAAAAGCAGCGGCGACTGAGCTCGAATATCTTCCGGGTTTTTCCTATCTTTACTGCTTATTAGCTTTTTTTTGTTTCTGCGTTGCAAAACAGCTTTGTCTCCTTTTTTTTTTGCATCAATCGTGGCGGGCACCGAATACGGTCATTGCTAGA